GCGATGCCCTTTGTTACGTTCGTAGCGTCCTTGCTACTAGTAGTATGCTGGCTGTACTTTAAGGGCAGGCTGTTTAGGCTCCAGAGTTTTCTGTTAAGTCTAGGAGAACAGCGAAATGAATTATCATTCTGTAGCTCGCTACCAGCATTGAATTCGCCTTATTGTAGTACTATTATTACCATAATAATAATCCTGAGATTGAAAACTTGAACAAAGCCAAGGCTGAGACTGAGACTCGATCAGTTTAATTAAAAGACTAAGACTGAACAGCTTAATTAATTATGGTTTATGTCAGAGTCAGTTGTCCAAGCCACTCACCACTTATGCCGGTGGCGTTCAGCAGGATCATTGAACTAAGCTGATCCACCCTAAGAGGAGGGACTAGGGGGCCAAACTCAGGATTCAAGCAAACTTCAGTGACTCAACGTGAGCGGGAAGAGAGGGGCGCAAAACAAAGCAATTCTTGACAAAGGCCAGGCTTAACATTAGAATCTTTAATTCTTTAAGTTGACGAAGTCAAAGTCTCAGCCCTTTGCTCTTTTCATCAGAGCTCTTCAGTCAAAGTCGATCGCGCCTATGGCGACCACACAACCCATCTATGTCGCTTCACTTTCTTTGGTGGAGCACTATTGACAAAGATCCGCCCTCTCACTTTCATCGTCTTCTTCACATGGCAAGTACCTGACTTGAAGCAAGCATCTGAAAAAAGTTCAACTAGACGCGAAAAAACCAGCAAAACTAACAAAAGAAGAGCACTACACTAAGTAAGTCAAAGTCTCAATGGTGCTGTTCATTTACCATCGTCGTTGGCGTAAGCAGCATCATCTTCACACAAGCATTTTTCCCCATAGCTTGGCGCAGGCTGCTGTAGCACGACTTGAAGTGAACAGTCTCTGGTCCCAAATCCCTTGAAGCGAGAACTTCAAGCAAGCAAGCAAGCCGAGGTGCAACTGCCAATAAGCTGCATCATCTTATGCCGTTAATTGTCTCTGATTCATCCCGTTTTGGGCATATTGACCTTTTAATTACTTAATAATAATGGAGCATCAGTATAAAAAATTAGCGACGACTGTGACTCATGACAGTAATAATTAGCACACTGCACTCTGCCGCGCAAGTTTTCTTATGTGCGCCTGGCGTCAGACGTTTGACGCGCAGAAGTGAATCGCTGAGTTCCGCACTGGCATCGACGACTTCAGTCAAAACTCCAAAAGCATGACAGCCACATCATATGTTTCACATTTCACAGTTAAGTTCAAGACTAGCTAGGGGACAGTGAGCTTGTCGCTGCCAATGACACCCTGTCAGCGTTGAGAAATTTGTCCATGATTCAGGATCAGGACACTGACTGGCTCACTCAGAGTTCGCCTCTTCACTCATCTCTCCACTTGCCACGGATTCCTCTTCTTCATCGTCTTCTTGGTCGCCATTCAGCTTCTGAATCTTATTCTTTGCTTTGGCCTTTGACTTGCCACCTGGGCGTCCTCGCCGCCCACGTCCCCGACCACGGCCACGGGAAGAACCACCACCAGAGCCTCGGCCCGTGTCCTCTTCCTTCACTCCTGAAGGCTGGGCCTCATCATCATCTGCTTGAAGGATCTTTGCAAGATCTGGACGATAGAGCTTGGATTGGGGATCAACAAAGGCCTTGATGACGATAGAGCTCGCTGTCTTCTTGTACCACTGGGCATGTTCATCAGAGTAGCCTGACATTCCAAAATGAGCTTTCAAAATTTCGACTGAGTGGGTGTAACAGTGTATCATGACATGGCATGAATGAACAAAACCTTGATGCAGCCGGACAGCAAAATGCAACCACTGGTGTCTTCGTCTCAAACATCGATAGCAACTCAGCTGGGTCTGATGCACAGAGCAAAGTCACCATACGAGGGCGGAACCGGTGCAACAGCTCAGCCATAAAGTCCCCAGCCACCGGTGACCAAGACAGGGGTTCAGACTCGTGGCCATCATCACGCGTTCCTGCTCGTGGCCGCGATGGATCCTTCACCTGCGCAGCGCCCAACATGCTGACCTTGAGGGAGGTGGCCACCTTAGTCAGCTGCTGGACATCAACCTTGGCAACGCTGACAAGGGTGTTGCTCTCAGTCGTCCCAGGGTGCAGCTTGTTCTGCCGAGTCCCGACAATCGTCGGAAGATGTCGACCTCCGGCAACCAAGCATGCTTCAATGGCGCTCAGGTTCATGATGCCTCTCCCCGCTGATGTGCCGGAAGGGCACCGGGCATCACGCCACTTTTTGCAAGAGTCCTGAGTGTAGCAAACGTGGAACTTCTTGGCAATCACCTTGCACTTGAAGGAGTTTTGAAAGTTGGACCATAGGCCATCCCGACCAGAATCCAGAAAGAGGAACCTTGCTCGATGAAGCGGAGCAGTTAATAACGACGATGTCAAAGACTTCCCCACAGCGATGACAATGTCACAGCTTTATTCAGTCAGTCTAAAGTTTCAACATTTACTTCAGGAATCATTGCTTTACTTTCTATGATTATGTGGAAAAATGTTGGGCAAAAGAAATCATGGTTATAATTACCTGCAAGCTGCACATCGCTATCGTCCAAGTCTGGAAGCTGGACACTGTCAGCTGTAAAGTCGATTGGCTTGTCCGATCGTGTGCTCAGAACGGATTGCAAGCAGTTCTCCAGGTGATCCTTTCTGAACGGCACCGAGCTGACAGGGTTCAGCTGTGGAACCACCACGTTCAAAGCAAGCTAGTCAAGGAACTTCGAATACTTTATAAACGAGTAGCTGCGGAAAGCTTTGGCACAGCGAGCATTGAAAGTTGTCTGAAATATGACTTTGATCATGTCCTGGCCTCCTTCCATTTGCATTCTCGCCGGATGCGTCCACGTTGTAGATGTGGAGCGTTGATCGCTCGTCGTCACCCCGAAGCTTCAAGAAAGCGCACTTCATCAGCTCTTGTGATAGAGAGGGCAGGGTGTCATTCCCATCCACTGTGACCAGCGACCGCTGAATCAAGTCCATTGCATCCTGTCATTTCATTCATAGACGCATGGGTTCATAGACAAACTCAACAAGTAGCAAAAGGTCACGTAGCAACCGAAAGTTTTAAGTTTAATTAAGTGGTGACTTGAGACGACGAAGATTGCTATAACAACGGTAGTTTTAAAAACTAGAGTGTAATAATTATTGAAGTTAACTTTAATAATAACCTTAAATTTATATGAAGTAATTTGCAGAGGTTTGATTGGACATTGCTTTGAGGAGTAGCTGTGCCTGAGTCAGATGCCATTACTGTTGCTCATGAGTTTGGTGTTTGCAAGTCTTGTGAGCCTGGCGCCTGCTGCTTTTCCTGACCTGCACTTGCCCGTAGCAAAGCTGAAGCAAATCATCCCACCTAGGATTGCCATAGCCTCGTCTTGGCACCTGCAGTGGTTCGGACACTGGCCTTGCTCAAGCACACCGCCAGGGATCTGCTCTGCAACTAAACTGGGATCCTCAATGGATACGTGGCTCCATCTCGTGCAGGGAGCTTGATGTCATAAATCCAAAGGTAGTTCATAAGGCAATCTCCCTTGAGCAAAGCGCAAGCGGTTAATTAAAATCAAAACTTCTACGAAATATGTGTTTTAATACTCATTAATTAGTAAATTGATTTTAAGTTACTGTTAAACCGCGCCGTTTAGTTTAAGTCTACTTTTAGAGTTCATTTAAGTTCTTGCGTTTTAAAGAAGACCTGACTTTGATTATAAATATATTATTTAACTTATTAACCCTGGCGTAATAGGTCCTTCTGGGCATCTTTCAGGATGGCTTGCTCCGAGGTCTGCATCTTTTGGATCTTCTCCTCCATGCCAGGAGGCTGCATCCTCAAGATCATCGCATACTCGCCTCAATGGGTTGCTGAGGTTGAAACTTTGAAAAAGTAATTCTTTTGACAGTCTCATTGTTCTTGGTATGTGTGTCGCATGAAGCGCAAACAGCTATAACCACAAAACCTTGCAAGTCAGCTGTCAAGTCACTTGCCTCAAGCTTGTCCTGGTCTGTAAGCTCTGGACCATCACCTTCTTTCTTTTCCTCCTTGTCACCGCCGCCACTGATGACCTTCCGCCACTCAGCTTCCACGTCCGCATGTTTGAGAACGTCGTCCACCTTCTGACCATAGCGCATGGCGTTGCGGATGGCAGAGTCGTAGTCGCCATTGAAGCAAAACTTGGACACAAACTGGAAAGCCTCCTGGAAAGGGTTGGTTTCTGTTCCACCTGACGGTACGGTGATAGTGACTGATGGGCGGTGCGGACTTTGACTATGACTTGATTGACTAATCAAATGGGTAAGATGCAAAGTCGACTGTCAATGATTCACCTCAAAGCCTCAAAAGTAAGTTCGTTCACTAGCTCCTGTGCAGGAGCACTGAGGGCTCCCAGCCATGTTTGGTCATGTTTGTTTTGAAGGTCTTTAGCAGCTTTCAGGATGTGTTTAAATGACTCTCTGCCAAGGATCCTCAAACTAAACAGCATAAAATGAATTTGGCAAAGGGGCCCTTTCCCAGTGGCAGACTTGCGACCAGTGAGAGTGGACACAGAGACCTCGCCGACTTTCAAGACTTTGTTGACCACTGCGTCGAAGACACATTTGAGCACCCACTCGATGTGGGGAAGAGTTTTGGCCTGTTGTTGGACTGCTTCAAGTTTGTATAGGGAATCGACCGGGCTTTTCTTCCCGAACCATTCCTCTGCAAGAAGCAGAAGACTTCTGATGGTCGGATGCACCAGCATCGTGTCATGAATACTCAAGGC